AATATTCCCATCGGAATAAATCCGAATACTTGTCATTTCTGTTCGGTTATATTTTCTTCGCAGTTCTTGGTTTCTGTCAGTTGGTTCTATAAATCGGTTGCAGTCCAAAGTCGAAAATTTTTGCTTTCAGTGATCATTTCGAACTTCAAGGGAGGTTGGGAGACCTACCGAACTTGCAAAAAATCGGGATTTTTATTTTCTCGAAATTTTTTTTTGCAAAGTTCAAACTTTTCTACTTTGATTAGTGGCTCCTTATCTAAGTGTGAGTTGGGCGATTATCCCACCCACCCCTCCCCACCTATGCTGTTGCCATCTCTTGCCTTATCTGCTCTGTGTATCTCCGGGTACCCCTTGTGACGACATTGGTAAGTTGCCACGTCAGCAGGCCACCTCAGCAGACCATGTCAATAGGCCACGTCAGCAGACCACGTCAGCACACCACGTCAGCAGGACACGTCAGCAGGACACGTCAGCAGTGCCACGTCAGCAGCAAGGGATACCACGTCAGCAGGTCCGGTCTGGTCTATGCTGTTGCGTTCACAAACATCAGTCATGGACCAGAGGGCCGGGGAAACAGACGAGGCCTATCAGGCTCGCATGTTAGCCTGGAGTACGGAGACTAAGAAACGAGCAGATGACGCTGCGGCCGCAGCGAAGAAGAAAGCAGAAGATGCCGAGCAGGCACGTCTGCTGGCGGTTGAACAACAGCGCCAGCATGACGAGGCAGCAACAAGGGCTGCCGATGAAGAAAGAGCACAATGTCGTGAGAAGATATTTACCAGAGAGCGGGCGTTACTTACCATGGCAACAGAATGGCGAACCGAGGCCGAGAATTGCCAGTTGGAGGATAGCGCAAACAAGATAGCGCTCCTCCTCTCGCATCTCACGGATCTCCTGGCAACCTGCATTACACAGCAGGCAGAGATCCTTGGTCTCGACAAATCGCTAGCTCACCTCCATGACCGTTTTCAGCGGTTGGAGCAGCGACCAGTCGCCGCAGCCGACGCAGGCTCGTCCAATATTGCCGACCGCCTCAATGCATTGGAGATGCACGTTGGCTCACTCCAGGATGGCGCACAGTTACAGCTCACCGCGACGCAACAGTTGCAGCAGCGGGTCTGTACCACCGCCACTACCTCGAGTACGGAGCCGCGCGAGACAACTCCAAAGTTTGACGGGCAGGAGATCTTCTGCGACTCCATGAAGACAGATCTGATTCCATGGTTTCGCAAGTTCGAGCTCACGCTGCATCTCCACAACGTCAAGGAACACAAGCACCACGCATACTTGTACTCTCGCTCAGGGGGCGCGTGCCAGGCTTGGTTGGACAACCTGTTGTCCAAGTACGGAGTGGTAGCCAACGACTTGCACACCAAGATCAGTTGGGATGATCTGAAGGCGGCGTGGCACAAGCGGTTCCAGGTGGAGCCGCCGGAGATCAAAGCCATGGACAAGCTCATGGTCTTCGAGCAAGGCACGCTGCCGAGTACGGACTGGATTGCCGAGTACCAACACTTGACGTCAGTCCCAGACATCCAGATGGGCTTCAAGGCCATCCACCACTACTTCATCTCAAGGTCATGTCCGGCATTAAGCAATGCCCTGACGCATGTCGAGGACACCTTGACGACGACGGCGGAATTGTTCGACAAGGCCGCGCAGATCATTATCACGAACAAGGAGGCCAAGAACCTCCGTTCATCTGCGTCAGGCCCGAGCAGGGACCAGCATCGGCCAAGAGTGGCCRTGGTCGCAGCGGCAACGCTGTTAGACCAAACCAGCGAGGAGGTTGTGTCTGCCAGTGAAGGGGACAGATTCGCAGCCGCCCGGGAAGGTGGCCGCCCCGGCAGAGGCCGAGGACGCGGCAAGACAAAGACACACACCGTTTCTAGCCCCGGGCCCGGTGCAGCAGCTCAGACAGGCCCATGGACCCCATATGGCATCTCCGAGTCCACATACAAGGCGCGCGAGAGATTCCACTATTGCCTTGGGTGCAACAGCGATCTTCATCAGACGCAGGGTTGCCCATTGAAAGGCAAGGGCAGACAGGGAAACTGAGCACCGCCGAGGGTGACGCGACGACACTCTCGACGCCTTCGGAACTGGTTTCTTCGCGAGTAATCAACCTTCATTCCGAGGCGCACGCGGAAGTCGACAGTCCTCCGCTTCTACTTTCTTTTGAGGACTATGCTGCCCGGCTCGTTCCAACGCTGGGTACTCAAGCTCAAGGACAAGGAGTGTGTGCGGTTTCTTCTCCGTCCGGCAACAACGACATATCGTCTTCAAGTGGTTCGTCACGGGATTCGGCGCGCGAGTTCAATATAGAGGCATTGGACCCACTCACGTCTGAGGACTTTGCATGGCTTCCTCTCCCGACCACAGGCTGTTTGCCGGGATCGCAATGTGCAGCACTCAGCACTAATCTTCACACTTACTTATCCTTCTATGCACCACCAACTTCGCCGACGGATGACGAAGTCGCGGTGGGGGACATCCTGGCGTATACTACCAAGGTGGCCTGCGAGTTTCGCACGCAGCGGTACGATGACAACAACGCACCGCTCATGTATGTCCGCATTCAGGTT